GTAAGATAAGATTTGTCAAACAATTTGACCAGAAAAAAACTGCGATAAAGTTGAACTAGAAGTGATTTTGCAAAGCATTTTTTTTTTATTGTGTTCGCGGCCCTAACCCTAATAAAGCCTACAAACACATGTAAATGAGTAACAGGGTACCGTTATTCTGCAGTTAAGCCACATTTAACAATGAAAAATTACGATAAAACATTTCTCAAAATCATTAACATTAAAAATTCCTAAAGGACAACGACGTTTCGGCATTAGCTACACGTCATTATCAAGTCATAATATGTTTGTAAGTTTCAGTCTATAAATACTCAAAAACAATAGCTGATCAAAAGCTGTAACGTGTGAAAAATATAAGAAAGTTAAACAAAAAGTTTCGCACGTATGGAGTCCGTCTGGATATTTACTGAATTAGGCTTAAGATTTCTAATGAGGAGCATTTCAAATACTAAACAATCAGATTTGCCCTGGCAATTTTTTAAAACTGTGAATTGTGAGCAAGAAATTGGGGCAAGATCTTATACCCAAAGAAATTAAGCCGTCAATTGTTAGTAGGCAGTGTGTTGCTTAGCTTTCTTCATGTTGTACGTGTGTGATCTCGATTATATCGGAAACAAAGCCCGACACCTTCATCTACGCATTGCTGAGCATAGAAATTCGGCAATCGGTGAGACATTTCTGAGTTCACGGTAACAACAACCTCTTGAGGGAAAACCAATTTACAGTTTTAAGAAAGTGCCAGAGCAAATTTGATTGTTTAGTATTTTAAATGCTTTTCATTAAGAATCTTAAGCCTAATTTAAATATCCAGAAGGATTACAGCTTTTAATCAGCTATTGTATTTTAGTATTTATTGACTGAAACTTACAAACATATTTTGACTTTATAATGACGTGTAGCTAAAGTCTCTGATTGACCATCTGATTTCAAATTCGCCTTCCAAAGTATCATACACAAACGTTCTGCCATGCCCCACTATCAGTGATCATGATGCGCCTTATGCTACCATCAATATGCGTATTACAAGATTTCTCCCACGTTACAAGTTTATTCGAAACGAAAAGAATCTTAACTTGCAATCGTATAAAGAGGACTTTTCAGCCTTACCTCTAAATATTGTTTATGGCGTGGGATGTCCAGATGATATGGTTACAACGCTTAACTCTCTTGTTACAGAATGCATTGAAAGACGTGCTCCTCTAAGAAGAGTGAAAGTTACACGTCCACCCGCTCCTTGGTTAGCTGATCCCGAAATCCGTGAGCTGCAGACCCAACGAAATAAGTTACGTAAAAGAGCACATGAATCAAATGACAACAATATATGGGAGGCATTTCGTACTACTCGGAACACTCTGAAAACTAAGATAAGGCAGGCTAAGAAATCGTTCTTTGATAACGCGTTTTCTTCAAAGCGACCAAAAGAAATCTGGCGTACAATTCACAGAGTGCTGAATCCCAGTACTAAGCCACTCATGGCCGATCAACTCATTCTTCGCCACTACAG